TTCGTATACCTAATAAACGAATGAAATGGTATTAGAGAGCTATGCTCAGCTTATATTGAGATTATTTGGGAGTCAAAAGCTAAATTTTCCTTTAGGCAAAAATATGTTCAAACAAAAATGGGATATTACGTGAAGAGAAGTGAAGGAAGCATTAATATTCTTTGAGTACCATGAGTATAACGTATTAAAATTTTGAGTTTTTTTATCATTTTACATCACCATTACAAATGTGTTTAATTCACACAATTTACTCAACATACAAAAGGGATTCCATAATATATTTTAAGCTTAAGAATGAAAAAAGAATAATATGAAATGTAGAAATGGGATGTAAAAAACTCACAACGCTATAAAATAAATCATCATTTGCATTGTTATATCTTTTTGCGTAAATTTATGGTTCATTTTAAATTTTCCCATGCGCGACTAACAGAAGAGAGATTGTAGGCATAGTCTAATCATTTTCTAAATATCAGTTCATTTATTTATTTGAATTACCTGCCATTTTTGTCATATCAAGCAGTTCTTTAACAGATAAAAAAAAGTGAGGAAATTTTTCCCACTGGATTTTTTTGAGATAAATTATGACAACATTAACAATATATAGGAATTCATATTATCCAGAGTTACTGGGGGCATCCCTTTTTAGTGAAGAATTTTATACCAAAAAATCTCATTCTTATGAAATGCGATTTCTTCTTGGACATGATTCCCAGAATTCTATGAGAAGCCTGTTGGTAGTCGGAAATTTGATTAGATGAGCACAACTAAATCATACCAAGCATACCTATAGCGCTAGAGAATATCCAAGAGAACAAAAAAATGTCTAAAACATAGTTTGCAAAAGAACAAAGGTAATAAAGGATGATAAAAAAATACGTAGAAAAAACAGAACCTTTTCGAATGGGGTTAATCCATTTTTGTGGTTATTAGTCCTTCAACCACAAATGTTTGTGCCCACTCAACTTGGTTCTCGTATTTACTCTGTTTACTGACAACTAAATGTATGCAAGAGAAAGTGAGGAATATTAATTTTTCATACAACAAATTGTAGGTATAAGTAAAAAGTATCAACAAAAAGGCCACAGTTTTTCGGTTTGAGAGACAGATCATCTTTAAGTCCTTTACGAAACATATTCAATGTGGGAAATAGTATAGGGGACAAAAGGACTATTTTGGGGTGCACTGGCCTAGTAATAGTCTAAAAGACTCACATACTATCTACTCCACACCAGCTTTTTTTTCTGCTTCTGTCTCGATTTCGCATCAAAAAGCCACTTTACACTGTTTAAAACAAAAATTCTTACCGGAGCGTCTATTCTCTCCATTAATAAACAGAGAGAATCTTTTATGACACCCAAACAATAAAAATATGTATTCATATATTAAAGTTTTCCTCCCCAAATGGAGCATATAGCCATGAACTACACTCGATGCTTTAATAATACATATAATCTGAGAGAAAAAGGTTGACTGATATAGAAAGATCGACATTAGCCAGAAATTATCTGCTCTGTATCAAAATGATTAAATAAAAAATCAATAGCAATGTTTCAAGATACGTATGTACATCGATTTATCGGAAAAGATAGCGTTAATTTTACTCATGCATTGAAAGCTAAATTCGCCGCCACATAAAAAATGTATCGTTCGTTATTGTGCTTTGTTTGAAGTTAGTAATTTTCAACTACTATCCCGTTTCACTTCTACAGTGAATTCGTGTACATAGTTAGGGTTGGATCAGGAAAAGTATACAGGTGCACACTAAACAATACAAATATTTATAATTCCACAAGTTTATTACATACTCAACCATATGCTTAGTTTAATTTCTGGAGAAATTCCAGAGCATGAAAATTATGCATTTCATTACTCCCGAACCATATTCACCGTTGTAAACATGTATGACGGAAGGGTTGAAAGTGAGCAAGGCGAGAAGTAAATTAAGTAAATCCGAACGAAGGATTACGTACATTACAATATAACAATGTCAATTTTTATTTACTATTGTTTTCTTAGAAGAAAAACATATTTACACCACCTTTTTAAAGACCTTCCCATGATCTTGCTTGCCTGAAAAAGCAGTACAAACACTTGTTACAGGAATTATCTGCCAGTACACTAATGATATTCATAATCGTATATATATATATGCATATATATCAAATTTTAGATAAATTTGGCGAGTGAAATGGGAAGGAAATAATGTATTAAGTTTATATGAAGTGTAAAGGGATGCCAGACATATCTATATATGTGGCACAATTATGTCATACCTTCATAAGAATTACTCATATATGCTTATTTTACCCCCATTATTTCTTATGAACTTTCCCACCGCTTCACTTCGTCTAGCCAAAATATTGAAGGACCATTTTCGTTGCTTAGATGATCAGAAGTGGAAGTATTCACAGAGTCCCTATTCCGGGGTACTACCTGTGGGAGCAATTCCACGTTGACTGCCTGGTATGAGCTCCTCGCCTCGATAAAATTGACTTGAAAGCGAACCCGGCCACGAACTGGCATGGTGTGAAAACCATGCATATCCACATGGCTATGATGCACAAAGATATCACCAGGCCTGGTTGGTACACGCGTATAAGACTTCATTGATTTCATAGCGGTGGACGTAGTTGAGATATCAGAGGCAAAGGAAGTTAAGGGTGCATCTGGAGACAGCCCCTTGAAGAAAGAGTGTTGGTTTGGGTCAAGTTGCATGCAGGTATCAACATTGAGGCAGGGAGTGGAGCGCGTGTCGGCCGGTCGTCCATCCCCGCCTGCGCCAAGGTCCAGCTCGTGCGGCATGCAGCTTACGTCAGGGCTACTGCCAGCTGAAATACCATTTAGATCCTGTGTCTCTGTCACCGACCTCTCAAAATCCTTTGCGGTCGCTGTACTTCCCATAGGTGCGGAACCTAAGACAGGAAAGATCTGATGCGTCGCTGTCAGGAAGCCGAATCCGCGCACGGGGTTATAGCGCTTCACATATCCCTCGTACAGGCCTCCTGAGATATACTTCAGACCGTTGAACCGTTTCTTCAGCTGAGGCGGCAGCGCGATCGGTATCGTATTGTCCGCGGTCGATGGCGCCGTGGGCTCCGCCACACAGGTGCTGTAGACCGGAAAGAGAACGTGGAGCGAGGGGTCGATGAGACCCAGGGTCGGCGGGAGGCCGACCACTTCGTTCGAGACAGCGACAGAAAGGGCTCCCATGCTGAGACCAGGCAGAGTTCGCATGTCGGGCCCGCCATAACCGTAACTCTGACCCAGGTAAGAGGCCATCCCGTTCTCATGGGCGGGGGGGGGGGGGGTTGTACGGCAATGTAGAGGATTCCACGTGCAGTTGTGGTAAGGGAAAGGCATACATCGCCTTGATAGTGCTATGAAAAGCGATAAGATAAAAAGAACGGTCTCCTCTGTTTTACGTTTACTTTTCTAGCCCCCTAATATATCTTATGTTTGTTGTATTATGCGTGTAAGGCAAGTTCTTTTATGTGATGGGAATAGTAGCGAACAATAAATGCACAAAGTAATTAGAAATAGGTGAAGGTGAGAAAACAGCACTTTTCTATCCATTATTCATAGTCCTTGTTCTTGAGATTGAAAAGGATTCATTGATTAACCTAAATAACCAAAAAAACAACCTGAAATGATGCACTTTGAATTCCTTTATTGTCTTATCATTTTAATACCACATGGTACGAACAATTATTCTTTTATTTACTTAAGCGTTATTCCGAAGAAAAACAGAATACAATAAAACAATCCTAGGAATGCAGAACACATTTGAGGTGGTAAGCATATATATATATATATATCACTATATTTAGTAATACATTTACATTTTCAAACAATAATAAAGCAAACCGTAGGATCGGTATTTTCATAAATGTGTTAGAGACGATAAAGGGGTTCCTTTATTTTATTTTATTCAAAACATAATACGACAAACAATAGTATAAGTCAGAAAAATAATGCAACCGAGCGAATAAATACCAGACATTGAAACCATTCATTTTCAGATGTGCGGTGGATTTTAATACTGATCAATCAATAAATAAGGTGTTAAAATTTAGGAATTATGCCCTTAAATTATTGTTGCCCCTCTCACAAGCGCAAATAATTTTCGATAAAAGATGCGTAAAAGCAATATATGAGTAAAAGATATTTCCAAACTCCCCAAAACGTTGCCGAGGCCATAGTAGAGTAGTAAGTAATAAAATAAGGAAGCCAGGATAAATTTCGAGATTGCATTTATATTTTAGAATTACGCTTTTTAAGCTTACTAAACGAGGATGGGCTGTCTGGTACCAAACTAAAGGCATAACTTTCAAGTTTTTTCTTTGTATTTCAATTAAAAGAAGGGATATTTACTGACGTGTGCGATGCGTAGATAGATAACATATCCGTTAAATGCATGTAAGCGCTGTAACAACCTAATTTGCATCGATAAATATCGTTGCATGGGGTACATTCATTAGTAGACAGAGTGAAGGGGTATGCATAATAATAAAGAATAATTACGCGATCAAATTGCTCACATATTCATGCATAAGCCTCGATGTATGGACAAGAGGAAAATGTATTGCACTGACATTGTTTTTGCGCGTATCTTAGGAATCCTGCACTGCCAAATATTTCCAAAAACAGTGGAAAAGGGTAAGGCCGGTGTATAATGGAGTTTTAGAGTTAAACTACGAAGTATTCTTATTTAACACACTCTTCCATCCTATCTCTTTAACCAGACTGATAAAAAAAGAGAAGTCTTCAAAAAACTTACATTTAAGTTAATGTAGCATCGATAACTTCGTGTACATTGTTAAGTTTATAATTTCACATTCCCTTTTATTTTAAGAAACAAGAGGCCCATTTCTTTGTCAGTCACAGTACATATCTCATCCAAAATAAGTAACAGAGATCGAATAAAAAGCAAAATACGTTATAGATTATTAGAAAGAAAATGTATATGCGCGATATTCCAACAATGCAGGTGGATAAATGCATATTCAACCGTGCATTTGTCAGATTCATGCAAATTTAACGAAATGATGACCTGAAAAAAGCATAAAAAATACTTTCAGAGCATTATATACGTGTACACATGTATATGTTTAAAGTATGAAAAGTAAAAAAATTCACCACTAGCGTAAGTTAAAATGCAAAATTCACTATAATGTGGTACGCTCTATTATAACCATTTTTTTTGCTCTGAAATTCCCTTTTCGGCATAGTTGATAATTACCTGTTTCACGAGCAGGCCTGAGCTCAGTTGTCGATTCAAAGCAATTTGTTTGCATTAAAGACTGACGAACAAAATGACTTCGATGGAAAATGAGTCATCTTTTTGTTTTTGCAAACTAAGTATCATCTCTGATAGTTTTAAGTTGAAAAGAGTAAGATAAATATAAATCGTGATTAAAGTTCGAATGAAGATATATTTTCATTTCATTTTTATGACATTAAAAACTCACCAAGGGAGCAAAACAACAACCCTTTTTACTATGCAAACACATGGAGAAGATAAAGAAGATTCAGTATGAATAATAACGCTGTGAATGAATATGACCGCGATGATGATGTCGATAGTGTATATTGTGTTATTTTTTCAATTTTTCTCTCAATAATGGAAACCATTTTCGAAATGCAAAACGTAAATGAAACCTAAAAAAAAGGAGCTTTCTCAGAAATGTTAAAAAAACACTCTGAAATAGTAATGGTATAATAATAAAGGAGAAAATCCAATAGTATACGAAGTTGCTAAATTCCAAAAGGATGGCCCTGTGCCTCCAATCACCTTAAAGTGAAGTACTCTCCCGCCTTTCCGTTGCCTTTTCTACTTCTCTTTACCTTTTACACACCAACGCTGAGAGGGTGAGAACAAACACTGAATTAGCTGAAGAGAGGACACACAAACACCTGTTAGAGGTTAAGTAAAGAAGATAATCTGTTAAAACGAAGCAAAACTCAGCATATATATATATATATATATATATATATATATTATTTATGTATAACTCACTCATGTGTTTATTTAGTCCAGAATGGTGATAACAAACACCCCTTATGTTTTAAAAAGATTAAGAGTAAACGAGCATCGTTGACTTCGAGAGTAAACTCAAACAACAAAAAATATACGCATTTAACTACTTCATCCTTGCATGCTGTAATTTCCTCCCATTTGATCATTGTTTTTAATTAAGAAAAAAGTAAATGCACTTATTTCCTCGAATTTTATGTTATTATTTTATCTTGAAAAGTTCACCCTTCCTACACGCGAATAAACTAAAACGGAAATAAATAGCATTGCTGTTAAAAATATTAAGTATAGCTACCACGGAATAGTTTTAAAATAATGATAATAATAGTATAAGGATGTATTACGTATAAAATGGACATGGACATAACATAATGAAATGCCCTCCTCAAAAGAAAAAAGAAAAAGTAAAATCAGATGATAAATAGGAAGAAATTAACCTAGTGTGATATTAATATACATACATGTATGATACTGTACATGAAACAAGATCTTAGTTAAAGATAATGCCAAGACGAAAAAAAAGACTTTTTACATCTCGGCATAGAAGTGTAAACTTATAAAAATCGATTTCACTTATTTACTGGTGTGAAGAGTCTCGCTTCTCTTTCTCAATAGAAGCAGATTATCCCACCCTGTGTGTGTACTCGCCCTTGTTGCCATCATTGTCACTCTGAGTAAATGACTCTCCTTACTTCGGGTCTGTGCATTCACTTTAGTATTGTGATTCTTTGTTAGTGGTATTCTCTGATCCTCTTCGTTACACTGCTTCGAAGGTTATCCCAGATTGGTGTGCATTAGCAAATACCATTAAACCCTTTCTGTATGCACGAACTACAGTTCATCGGCATTAATCCCAAACAGTTTGACATCACGCGACTCCATTAAAAACATATGAAGTTGGTCCTTTTGACGTGAGGAGGCTTGTGAAGTCCGTATTACAAGTGTTTGGTGACACTATGAGCGAACTCCTCTCATCGCCGATTTGCTCTGACTTCGTTGGTAGAAGCATGTCTAAAATGCCCATGGCACTGACCACGCGGTGACCGACCCCGTCGCTATCCCCGAGGGTGGAAAGCTTCGAGATTGACGTGCCGCCGTTGGACTGGCCGGAGGGTAGCGAGTGCTTTGACACGAACTCCAGCTCCGAGCTCTCCCAGGAGCAGTTGCTCTCACGGCGACAGGGGGTGTGCGGGGCGGGGCGGAGACGAGGGTTGGGCCCGATCGGAGAGGGGTTCTGCGCCGACAACAGCGAGGAGGCCCCCCCTTCCAACACACGACCCTGGCGCAGCAGAAGTCGGACGTCGACCGCCTGCAGGCTGCCCGGATATGCACACTTATCGGCACGGAAGTACACACAGGCTCCGACGGTGAAGTCCTGCGAGAGCCCATTCGGCCTATCCATGCCCAGGGGGATGCGTATTTTTTGGTGATGAACAAAGATATCGCCAATACGGACGGGCTTGCGTAAGTAGCGCACACCATCAATCTCAGCCACCTCTTCTGTGGGATCCGTGGGGGGGGAGTCCGTGACGCCCTTCCAGGCGTCCTTGTGCTGCTCTAGGCCGGAAACGTCCTCCATGTTCAGAGGCGTCAGTCGGTGTGTCGCCGTCAGAAAGCCGAAACCGCGCAGATGGCTGTAACGCTTCACCCGCCCCTCGTACTGCGTATTCGTGGCGTAGAGAAGACCATTCTTGCGCACGGAGGGCGGGCATAACATTATAGGTTCTGTCATGAGCATGCTCCCGTTGCTGGGGATGATATCCATGTGGCGCTGGGGAGGCACCAATGACGCGCACGACTCCACCGAAGAGTCGATGGGACCGAGGATTCGCGAAAGCTGTGGAGCTTGTGGTGACGTGTGGGAGTAGGATGGCAGCCTACTTTGTGTTGGTGGAAGCTGAGAGAACAGCCCCATGGGGATGGGCATCAACAGCGTAGGATCCATGCACAATCCCTGTGAAAACATCTGCGTCCCGACACCAGCGGTGGCGCTGGTCATCATAACAGGTGTTGGAATTGGCATCGTCATCGGCACCCAGTAGTGATGTTCCGATAACAGCGGAAAGGTTTGAACAGGATCTGCTTTTAAAAGTGTAAATGCCTCCATTGGCTGTTGTGATGACCAGATGTTGGGGTAAAAATCCGTGCTAACATTGGTAAAATCCGTCATGGTGTAAATGAGCGGTCAGAAGTTGTTTAAATTATGATCAGGGTAAACACGGATGTAAATCGCGATCAGTCCCTTTGTTATCGATTCGGAAAAGCTTTACCTTTTGTCTTCCTACGGTACACACACACACACACACACACACACACACACACAACGACAACTAAGTCGTTT